AAGGAAGGAAGGAAGAGGGGGGAAAAAATGGTAATTTAATATAGATAAAAGGAACAAATTAAGTGGGCTGAAAACAGATGCTTTAGGAAAAAGGGGGAGAAATAATAAGGCAGATAAGCACACGGCTGGCTCCTGTGCGGAAAGAGGCACCCCTGTCTCCCCGTGACACCGCTGAGTGCTGGGGTCAGGGGTTCTCATTTATGGTTTTTTCACCCCTTATTGATTGCCAGACTCCCAGCGATGGATCCGAGCCCTGTCAGCTGCTTTTGCCATGGATCTGGTGCTCTGGCCCCCTGCACCCAGCGCTCCGGAGGCATAAATTCAATGAGGGGCCTGATCGGCTCCATCCCCGGGGCCCTGGTCCTGCCACCACTGTCTGGTGCCTGTGGGAAGGTTTCCCCCCCAGTTGGCCAGTTTTGGATTCATCTGTTGGGTGAGAAAAGGAAGCACAGCCCGTGAGAGCACGGGAATACATGGGAACATGCAGGAGCGTGCGGGGCCCCTGCCCGGGGCTAGCAGGGCTGTGCCACTGCTTTGGTGCAGCACCATGACTGGTGCCTGGTGGTGATCCCAAGGAGATGAGATCAGTGTCCCCACCACCCTGTGATCCCTGGAAAGTCCTAGTCACTCCTGTGGCCACCCCACGGCTGTGATGCACCCCTGGAGAAGGCTTTTGGCACGAAGCGTGCGCTGGTTGGGATCTCCACCTTGACTTGGACATGGTGGTGCTGTCAGCACAAGGGCAGGGATGGGTTTGGGGGTGTCCACTGCAAACTGAGCTGTGGGTCAGCATCCAGACCTGGTCTGCACTGTGGGGTGATGTGAGAGACACCCCCAGGCTGTGCTCACTGGACCCCACACACACATCCCTCCCCACCATCCCTACTCACAGATGTAGTAGTACTCGTGGCCGGGTCTGAACTCGAAGCCCAGTGAGAAGGGGGTGAAGAGCTGGAACTTCTCCGAAAACTTGAGGGGCCCGTTGGGGGAGTCAGGCCGGTTGCACTCCCAGCGCTTGAAGCCCCTCTGACGGTCGCAGGTCGCGTGCCCCTCGTAGTTGACCATGTAGAGGATGTAGCGCTCCATCCGCTCGGGCAGCGGCTCCTCGTAGTGCGGGCAGTAGATGTCCAGGTAGTCGTTGATGCTCACTTCCACTGTGTAATCCCCGTGCTGAAACCTGCAGGAGAAACCAGCGTCAGGGGGACCACGTTCCACCAGATCCCACCAAGGGGATGCTGGAGACCCCGGGCATGCCAGAACTTCGGTTTGACCACAACCCAGGGCCTGATCCAGCCCAGCCCTGCACCGCTCTCCTCTCCCCATCGCCCCCTCCCCTGCCCACCCCACC